GAAAGAGGCATCATGGTGTAGCTGATGGTTCTGCATCTCGGAGCACACACCCCTCTAGCCTTTCTAAAATACCCTCGGATATTTGGGGTGAGATCTAGAACTGTATCAAAAACGTACACCCAACCAACTTACTTCGTCAAGTCTTGGGGTATTTGCGGCCAGTCGGCAACTGAAGTGCCTTGGCATTGACTAGGATATATCCACACAAGACGATCATATTCTGCTAAAGTAACTCAGATGTATCGATACTGACCTCTAAGTATTGATACCGACCTCTAGGTATCAATACTAACTGGATATTGAGAACTAAGATAAAGGGGTATTATCGATAGTCTAGTTTGAGTATCGATACTTTTGTACTGGGTATTGATAGTATCATGATTATCGATATCAAATTTTGTTTTTATGTTCTAAAAATACCTTAGTATCGATACCCCTACTGAGGTTATCTATTCTCTACCCTTAGTGTCATACTCCCATGAGTACTGATACCACAAATGGCTACTGGAATTTGCAACATAAGAATAGTATCGATACTTCACTCTGGGTATCGATACTCTACTATCAGTATCGATACCCGTTGAACGAGTATCAATAGTCATTGTCTAAAAACCCTTGTTTTTAGGCTATCTGATGAATAATATCGGTATTGTTCTTTCAGTATCGATACTCATGCCCAAAAATACCCTATTTTAGGTAAGAAAATGACTCATCATTTTACCCAAAAGCCTTATTGGGATTCTCAAAAGTTATTAAAGTTTTATGGAGGTTAAAAGGGGTCAAAATAGGTTTATAAACTAACTGAAAAAATCAAAGATTGATATCTATCATGGACATGCTTCATAACTCAGGTAACCTACCAAAACATACCTACTGATCTCATGCGGTAGAGTTAAGTTAGAAGTGAGTTACCTCGATACCCTAAGCTGCTGAAAGTGTCCAAAGCTCAACCAAAAGGTATTACTAACTTGCTTAGGAGGTTGGCAAGAGGTTAAGAATGATTTCTAAGGCTTGAGCTCTCTAAAACCGGATTAAACATTTGAGTTCCTTAAATCCCCTAAAAACCCCATATTTGGTTACCATAACCAAAACTTGCAAGGGAGGGCTTGAAATAAAGTTTGGAAAGAAGAGATTAAAGTTCTTACCTTTAGAATCTCAGAACAAGCTTGATAGGTCACCAAGTTGTTACATTTCTTAAGTTATAATGGAATAAAAGGGAGAGTTTGAAGAGAAAAAGAAGACAAGGGTGAAGAAAAATATATATGAGGGAGGTGCAGACGTGAGATCATCATTCTTAATAGATATTCAACCTTTGAAAATAAAATTGGTAGAATTAATTCCTTGGTCATTCAAGCTTTGGTCACCATTCAAAAACACCATTTTTAAAGCTCTCCACTCAAACTTGGGTCAAAGCTTCCTACAAGCTAAAGGATTTATTCAAGGCCCTCTCGGGTTAGCCCGAACTACTAACCCATGATTTGGGGGATTACAGATTTTACTTCGAGATTCATGTCGGTTACATTCTACAAGCCCCAACCCTTGTAACTTACTTTTCTCTTCGGTAAATCAATATTCCTAAGTCTATCTTCAGAATTCAGTCATTGCTTGGACTAACCACAGTTATCACCATTAGCACCAATACAACTTTAAGCGCTGAAAATGCCCGACTTGAGTTATGTTGTCTCAATGAGAATTGAATCCAATCTCAATTTCCCTTAACGAACCTTGTTAAGTGTGTTCATAGAAAGTCGAATTTGCTACCAGGTGACTCTTCCACCCAACTGTAAATCAGAACAACTTTCAAACCGGTGAGCTCTTTTGAAATGAAAGTGTTGAGATTTTTAAAGGAAAGGTCGATTGCCAATCAAAGTTTCCAGAAAATTAAGAATAACATCCGAAGATATTAAGTGCTTTTCAATTCTCACCAAATGAATTGAGTCATTGTTAAGTCATCGACAAATTAAAAGTTTAACTAAGCATGATGGAAACCATACTTAGCTTTTTTAGAAAACAAAGTAAAAAACTTAAAATAAAAGAAGAAAAATAACTTTAACAAAAACCAATAGGATTTTTATAAAAAATGAAAGAAAGAAGTACATGTGCAATCAATACCCGAAGGTGTATTTAGTCTTCTAAAACCCTAAAAAAGGAACAAGTAAAATCAAAATAAAAAGATAATCCAAAAATAAAATAAATCCCTAAAGTATTTTAAATTCAAACTTAATTCCTAAGATAAATCTCCCTAAGATAGCTTTGTTCGTCCACCTTCTAGATTAATACTGACTGGATCTTCTAAAAGTTGTTGCTGACTGGATCTTCTATAAACTTCCATGTCGGATCGCGTCATGCCCATGTTTCTAGCCATGATTCCAGAAAATAAAAAAATGCAGAATCGTCCCTTTTTAATGTTGTTTCTGGAAAATATGCTCCTGCACAAAAATTAATGAAACAAAACCAAATCAACAGTAAAAGTTGATGATATGAGAATATTACAAGTAAACATCTTTAATTTAAAACACTCATCAACTACTTAGGGGTGAGTATTCGTTCGAGTCGAGTCCATTAAAAAATTATGTTATTCCAGTTAACGAGTCTTATTTTATAACTCGAAGTTGATTTGAATTTTTTAGTCAAGTCGAGTTTATAAAATTCGATTCAAGTTGAATAGAGTTGAATTTTTGAGTTTCTGTTTAAATTTAAGGGTTAACTACATGGTAGTCACTCATCTTTTACTTTTGTACACTTTTGGTCACTGATTTCAAAATTCATAGGATATGGTCTCTTACGTTTTTATTTAAATAAGATTTGGTCACCCAGAGCTAACAACCGTTAACGACAGTTAAATATTTTGATATATTCACACATTTGGTCCCTATTATTTACATATTCCCTCAATTTAGTCATATTTTTAATAAATTAAAATAAATTATATATTTTTAAATGAAAATAAAAATAAAATATTTTTAAATTAAGTTAATAGTAAAATATATTTAATAAGTTAATACAAAAATATCTTAAGTTAATATATATATATAATTATATTATATATAATTTGGGTCACGGGTACCCGATTCATAATTTTTTATTTTCTCTTTAAATTATATTATTTTTTGAAAATTATATAAAAAATATATTTAAAAGTATATAATATATATAATCCACACATAAAGTTCAAAATTCAAATTATATAATTGAAATAAAATTTTATTTAAATTTAAAATAAAGAAATATAATTAAATTTCAAATGTTTTGAAGTTAAAATAAATATTTTAGAAAATTAATGTGAAATAATTTAAGAAATTAAGAATTTAGAACGTTATGGTGTCAAAATTTAAGAAATTAAGATTTTAGAATGTTAGAGTGAAATAATTCGAGGTTTATGAATAAAAATTTAATATAAATAAAAATGAAAATATATAATAATCGGGCATCGGGTCAGAGGGTACTCGGTTAACCAACATTTTGTGACCCATGCTCGACCCATAAACCTGGTTGGGTACCCGACCCGGAAAATCGGGTATTTTATTATAAATACCCAATATTTTTTAATTGGGTCAGCAAGTCGATGGGTAAGCTCAATGGGGTCGAGTATTTTTTAACAAACTTACTGGCATGGCATGTGGCATCGTTCGATTGGATGATTAAATTTATTTTAATTTATTAAAAGTATGACTAAATTGAGAGAATATGCAATAACAATGATCAAATGTATAATTATCAAAAAAATTAACTGTTGTTAACGTCAGTTAACTCGGGATGACCACTTAATTAAATAAAAAAGAAAGTGACAATATCTTAATTAAATAAAAACTTAAGTGACCATATCTTATGTATTTTGAAATCAATGACCAAAGTGGACAAAATTGAAAGACAAGTGATCAACCTTGTAGTTAACCCTAAATTAATTTTAAATATTACAATATTATGATATTATTTGATTGTAGTTTAAATGGTTTTTTATAGCCGTAATATATATATAACTCGACTCAACTCTTGAAACCAAGCCATTAATTACTAAAATTTTGAGTTATTTGAGTTGTATTTTACAACTCGATTTGAACTTGGACTTTTTTCGAGTCGAGTCAAATTTATGAAATTACAACTCGAACAATTGGAGTCGAGTAAACAAATCGACTTTTCGAGTCGAGTTTTGCTCACCTCTATTACTAGGGCGAGCATTCGATCAAGTCGAGTCGAGTAGAGTCAAAAAATTTTGAGTTATTCGAGTTGACGAGTCCTATTTACAACTTGAAGTTGACTTAAAAATTTAAATCGAGTCGAGTCGAATTTTGAGTTTTTGTTTAAATTTAATATAATATTATATATTATTTGATTTCAATTTAAATGGTTTTTTATGATCATATACAATACGTATGTATGTATGTATATATATATATATATAACAATTCATTTTTGTGTATTTTTATAAAAAAATACAATACATGTATATTTCTTTCATATGTAATATACATATATTATAGAAAATTGAGGGACTCAACTCAAACTTGAAAATTCATCTATTAATTACTAAAACAAATTGAGTTATTTGAGTTGTATTTTACAACTAGATTTGAACTTGAAATTTTTTCGAGTCGAGTCGAGTTTATGAAATTACAATTTGAAGTTATTCGAGTCAAGTCGAAAAATCGATTTTTCGAGTCGAGTCGAGCTTTGCTCACCCCTACCTATTACCGCTTACCTCAAATAGAAAATATTTATCTTTATTTTATTTGATGGTCTCCATCATATTCAGGACCACCGGAGGAAGAGAGAGGTCTCAGTACATTAAACAGCAACAATAGCCTTTAAACAAAAAGAAACAATTTATTAAGATGGTTGAAGGAATACATTGCAAAGAATCATGTACAAATTGCAATACATGATGGGTTTATTATACATTGCAAAGAGTTATTTACAGTACATTAATAAGCCTTAATGACATAGTGATATATACATGTACAATTGGTAAGCAAATCCCAGGCGAGTGAACACTTGCAGGTTCTTAATCTATGACCCATTCATCGTTGCTTGTGGGGGGCATTTACATGCATGTTTTATGCATTTGGTTCAGAATTTTGGCTTGGGTAAACATGACCAACACCAGGGCTGTGTCCAGGGTTGGTGGGTCGGAAATCTTTTTTAGCTCCTGCAATTGAATGCTTACCATTGCCCTGCATGCTAAAGCTTCCTGCTTTTCTTTCAATATCTTCATCATCTTCTTGGAAAGCATGTCCAGCACCAGGGCTGTTCCCTGGTGTGGTGGGTCGAAAATCATCTTTATCTCCTTCAATCGAATGCTTGCCGGGTTTTTGTTCTACAATAGCTTCATCATCTCCTGCAAATGAATGTCCAGCACCAGGGCTATTCCCGGGTGTAGTGGGTCTAAAATCCTCTTCGTACCCTTCAACGGAGTCTGAGGTTTTAGTAGGTGTAGGGGGTGGCAATACTTGCTTTGAATCATTTTTGCTCAATGATTTTAGCAGTCTTCCCTCAACTGAGAGGACTAAATGAAAGGTAATTAGGAGAAAGACAGCAAATTTATGCATGGTTCTGAATTCCATAAGTAGGAAATCAATAACTTGAACGTCACTTTTAAGTTATAGTATGAGAATGCTTAGAGAAGAAAGAACTAAGCACTATGAAGTGAGTTCTGCTTTGAACCCCTGGGATTTATAATGACAATGTGGGGATGAATTTGCAATAATGGATGGTTTGAATAATTTTTTTAAATCCTCTTTTCTCAACAAATTTTTTTATACAATAATGAGGAAATATGGCATTTCCTCTCTTGAAGATTAATATATAGTTCATAATTTGCATCTCTGTTACAACTATTCTTCTCTGTCCCACCAAATGCAATATTTGCTTCTCTTGAACAATATCTTCCCATATATATGTTGCATATCTTGTCTGTATTATTCTCACTGCCCCACTAGTTGTGCTCTTAGTTTATGCTTTTCCCTAAGAATAATAGTACTCTAATAATTACCTTCGAGAAGGAGGAGGGAACCCATATACTGAATGAACCACCGGAGGAATTGTGGCCGCTGCTGAGGGCGGATGTGAAAGGGGAAAGATGTTTTAAATTTAATCACTAATGTTACACTTATGTGCCCAAAAAAATAGTACTCTAATAACCACCTCTGACTAAATTATGCAAATTAATTTAAAGATTTATGGAATATACGGACATATATATCTTTTAAATTTAATCACTAATATTTGATTTATTAATTTACTAATTCAAATCAGATATCTCTACGTATCGTAGAGATGTATTATGGACAATCCTCTAACCCATTTTCGTACATGCATATTTTAACGTTCTGTTTCTTGGTATTTGAAGCATCAGACATACTTAACATTAATTTCGAAATATGGAGTAGCCAAAAAATGTGAATATGAACAAAAGCCTCGCTTGAAACTTGAAGTTGGATCCTTAACCTTTCATGGTACTGAAATGTGTGATTTAAGTGAGTAGGGCAATCTAAATAAAATATTTAGAAGCTGACGGCGTTGGTCTGTAAACCCTATTCCCCTCGAGATAACAAATAACTAGGAAATATTGAACTAGCCCCACCATCGAAATGCACCGAAAAGGCAAAGGAATCTCCTATTATACTTCTCCACTTGCAAATGCATATATAAATAGTAGTATCAATATTATATAGCGACGGCTGTTGTGCAAGCCTAGAATTGTTGTTGTCGACAAATTATAGTGAAACACCTCTGTCCTGCAGCTCTCTTGTCGAAATCCGTTGTTGACGATAATTGCAAACTTTCAAATTTCAACTAAATGCGTGGTGGAATGATTGCTTGGCTGCTGAACGTTGAAAGGTTTGCTGCTGGAAATCAATAGTAATTAATTAAATTGTTGATACAGAAGCAACTTCTGGTTCTGGTTTATTTGCGACGAGTTACCTTGGAAGAGTGATGGTTGGCATCTCTGAATTTTATAGTATGTTCTAAAACAGAATTATTTAGCTTGGAACATAAACACTAATTTAAGAAAAAGTTGTGAAAGCACTATAGTAATGAAAATGTTTTAATTGACAGAACTGGTTGAGTTTAGCTTCCACAGTTCCACTAATGGCAAAAAGGAAAAGATGTCATAAAGGATGGTTCATAGGAGAGCCGGAATTTGACCAAGTATCAGTGTCATAAGTTGATATTGATTTGAATCTTGCTTTTGCTTCTTTATGGAATTTGAAGTACTAAAAGTTTCTCTCCCCATGGCGTGGGGAGCTCTTGTCTTTATCGAACTCACGCCATCAAAGACATGTCACATCAACAATTTAGAATTGTCCACCATATGACGCTTACATAGATTGCTCAACTAGGTGACTTGAACAAGCAGCTAGATAGCAAAGTATATCAAAGACAGTTTTCATGTATGAGACTGTATAATTTAACAGTGGAGCCAGCTGCAAGCTTGACTTATTTTCTAAACTAGTAGTCAATTGAGAAACTTCTTTAACCTAGTCCATGCAATCAAAATGCAAGAGACTGAAGTCATTGTTGTTTAATTTGCAGAAAAACAGAATCATCAATACTCTTTCCACAGGGATGCACAAAGAGGTTGTTGGGGTGCAGTCCCATCTGTAAAAATTTTAAATTCCTTTACATTTTATTTATTTATTTATTTTGTATTTTCTATTGAATATCTAATTTCACACCTTGATATTTTATAATTTTACATCCCTAAATTTCAAATAAAATTTCTTAAGTTCGTACCCTCTAACATTAATTATTGCATCGTCCATGTTCTTTCGATATTAATTAAGATGACTTTGCATATATATATATATATATATATATATATGTATTCATGCATGCTTGTCTTTTTATTTCATTGGTTTTAGTTATTTTTTGATTGTGGTAAATAAAGGAGGATGTTCATAATTAATCGAAAGATGAAGAGCGCCAACCAAAGAGATGTCCCTCCACTTACATTTCTTTATACTAAAGAAATAGTGCATTTGTCTTGGTCGATCAAGTCAAAACTCAAAACCAAGGGACCAATCTACCGTCCTAAAACCGCCGTCAAAGTTAAAACCCTCAACTTGGGGAAGAATAATTGATTATATAATGAAGAATCTTTTAAAAGGGCTTTTTTTTTCAGTTAAAAAAAAGTTGGTTGTTTCCTGCATCTGAGTAAGTCTCCATCCTCTGGTAACCCTTGAAAGACTGCTAGTAACATTTTTAACCCTTTGCAAAGACACAACAAGAGCACAAAACTCATTTCAAAACTTTGAATTTGGATTTCTTCTTAAGAGAACAATGTTTCTTACCATTACACCAACACTTGAGGTGCATTTTGACTCATAAAATTTGACTCGGTTAACTGACTAATTAATTGGAAAAATATTTGATTAAATTCAAAGCAAATGCTAACTTGTGTTAGTTCTCCCTTTAAATAGAAAACCTTGAGGAACTGTAAAATTATTACATATAAAAGGAATGAACATCGGAAGGTGAATATATATCAGTTGTTCTTTGATGTTTGCAATCAGGCATTTAAGTATTTTTGTCGTCTGTAATTGTATTTGTTAATAAGAAGAAGAGAGTAACAATAAGAGAGAAATATGAAAACCCTCGAATTTCATTAATAAGCTAATTGACTTGACTAATATTTTTACAAAAGTCTTTCTTTCAAGATTTCAGCTACAACGTACAAAGTACAAATGATTTATTTCCCAACTTTCAAGCCTAAGGCACTCCAACTGAAACTAGAACCAAACATATACAAAATACAAAAACCTAAATGATCAGGAAGAAATCTTTCGAGGATCGAAGCTACTGTCACCATGAATGATAAAATGATATCCGTTTGCAATGCACGGTGATCAAGAACTTTTGGAGCTAGTTTTGAAGGGAATTGCCCGCTCCTGGACTGTGGCCAGGATCAGTAGGCCTGAAATCGTTTTCATATTTGGGTGGCTGGGTTTGACTTCCTCCTACTGGTGTTGTTGGTGAAGGCGGAGACTGCGTGTTGGCATTCGCTGCTTTGCCAACGATATTCCCTGTTTCCTTCTGGTCCAATAATAAATGCCTTCCTACAGTGAACTGATTTTGTAGGAATAAAACAAGCACAAAAAGAACAAGAAGAGAGAGTTGTTTGTTTTGTGCCATAATGTGAGTTATTTCTTTTGTAAGTGTTTGTATGGTAGCGGGAGAAAAGAGAGGGAAGATAACCAAGCAATAACTCAACAAAGCTTGCTTTCAATATCTTTAAGAATTCAACGAAGAGAGAGTTGTTTGTTTTGTGCCATAATGTGAGTTATTTCTTTTGTAAGTGTTTGTATGGTAGCGGGAGAAAAGAGAGGGAAGATAACCAAGCAATAACTCAACAAAGCTTGCTTTCAATATCTTTAAGAATTCAACGAGGGAAGAAGACGCTTGATCAGCAGCTTTGCCTGTAGACCTTTCTCACCGCGGATTGCTATTTATACACGATCCCAAGGAAGAACAAGTTGTAACAATATTTAGCATGTTTAATATTCATATCATAATTTGTAATTATGTTGAAATTACAACGAGTAATAATAAATGAAGGATATTTGTAAATATTGTTAAAACTAATCACTCCCTACAATAACTATCCAACTTACAAGATATATTTTTCAAAAATATCATTTTAATAAATAATGTTTCTTATATTTATTTTATAATGTATTATCAAAATTAAACAATTATCACTTACAACTCTATCATAAGTATATAATATTAAAATAAAAATATAATTTATCCTATATATTCATTATATACTTATTAATAATAAACATGTTTTAAAAATATTATTTTGGCATCACACAGGAGTTCTAGTAATAAATAAAAGCCTTAAATTACTCATATCTTTATTCACATGCGACTGTCTTATTCTCTTTAACAGTATTTTGCATGGCCCATGCAACTGTTCATTATTTATTTAATCTTCTTTCTTTTTCTATCATTTCATTTTTCCTTTTGCTCAATATATAATCTCTTTTTTGTCTCTTGGTAACATGCAAAGGGTGATATTTTAGTTCAACATCCTCATATTTTCTGGGGTGGATTATTTACTCCAACCAACAAGATGTCTAATGATAAGATCATTAATATTAATAACGGGAAATTAAATTCCTATATTTTTCATGCATTTAGAATCTTATCATTATATTTTTATTTTTATACATTTAATCAATTTATTTTTTATTTAAAAATTTAGATTAAATTATTGAAAAAGTTAAATTTTTTTTCTTCAATTCAATTTTATTATAATGTCAAAATTTTGCTTATAAGTATGTCAAGTTACTTTTTTTTATTTTAAGAGCTTATATTAATATATGTTAACCAAATAGTATGCGTAAACTGAGGGTTGGTTATGTTGAATGGTTAGTCAGCTATTGACAGATGTTAGTTGATTATTAGAATGCATGGGTTGCGTGACTTGGTTATTGGGGGTGCATGGGTGTCAGGGACATCTCATTTCCATGAGATAACCCTAACAATAACTCAATGGTGGATCGAGTAGATGCGATCGTTAGCCAATGAAAAGCTTGAAGAA